TATTTAAAACTAATAACTTCTTTTTTGTCTTCTGCAATAAGATCTAAACGATAATGAACATGTTTCTTTTTAATTTTTGCTATTAGTTCATACAAAAAAATGATCATCGGAATTTGGTTGAAATATATTTGCCTCTTTTGTAAGTTATGGCCCACGCGAAATTAAAATTTATAAATTTCTTTCTTTTTATTATATAAGATTTGATAGAGCTGAGTTTGATCTTTATGATTTTGTTGAATACCAAATCAAGTTAAATCAATTCATTTAAAAAGTTACTCGAATTTTATGTCATCTGAATTCTAATAAAGTCAATTTGCTTCGAACGGAAATTTAAAAAAAGAAGGGTGTGAGAGTGGCTTGATGCCACAGGGGGTGGCAAAATTATAGACCCCTCTATACTCAATACAGAAAAAATAGGTTTCTGTCTTACACGTGAACCTAGTTATTGAGTTGATACGTTCATTCAAAACATACATATACATGATGTATTAAGATATGATTACTGCTTTTTCTCTTCTCATCAACACGTGTAAAAATGGATAGAAAGAAAAAGATGCTGTGGCATAATTATAGACCCCCTTTCATTCTTTATTTATTTTTTTGTTTTCTTCTGAATGTTTTTGTTTAACAAACACAAAACTCAATAACAACAGGCAAAGCCTTTACGATTGATAACTTGACGAAGTCTGGTGGGCATGGATTGAAAGAGTTTTCTTATGACATCTTTCGAAATTTCTGTCCAAACGATTTTCAGTGCTTCCTCCAGCTGTGTCGTGTTGTTAATACTATATTTCAATAATTTTTCATCGACCATAGACCATATATTTTCTATTATATTAAGGTCGGGACTCCGAGCTGGCTATGGAATCAGTTTGATATACTTTTTCTTTAAATATTTAGATGTTTTAGCTGACGTATGAGGACGAGCGTTATCTTGTTGATACAAAATTTTTTTCGATTGTTCAGGCGGAAATTTTTCAAACGCGGTAGCTAAGTTGTTCTCGAGTATCTCTATATATTTATTTGAATTTAAACGCCCGTTGAAGAAAACTAACGGCCCCAAGTCATTGTACGTAATATAAGACCAAATTCCAAGACCACCACCTCGATGTACCAGGGGTTGAAATCGTTCATGACGCTTTAAATCGTTCCGAAATCTACGTATATAGATTCTGTTGTTCCGATTTACTATTTAGAAGTTCGCTTCATCGGAAAATATAACGTTAGACCAATCGATTTCGGTCCACGTCAAATGTTTATAACACCAAAAGAGTCGATAACGTCTTTGTTGATGTGTTAATTGAGGTTTTCTTGGTGCAACGTACGAAACCAAATCGAATTCATGCAGGATACGGCTCACTGTTCGACGACTGATATTCAAGTTCAAACTTGTTTGAGCATATCGAACGAGATCATTCAAGGAAAGAGTATCGTCACGAAGTTGTTGAAGTTTGATGGAACATTTTTGACGACGTATTACTTTGGAATGACGGCCAGCTCCAGGTTTTATAGCTGTGATATGAAGCTTGTTGAACTTGCGAATGGTTTGACGCCCACAATGACGAGAAACATTTAATTTTCTTGAAATTTCATGTTGGGACATACCAGTATCGCGTAAAAGTATGATTCCCTTGTTTGTATCAATACTAACAGCCTTCCTTCCCATTCTTTTTCTTACAAAATACAATGTGCTTTATAGACGATCAATATATAATAAACAAACTAACTTCGAACAAATCCGAACGGAAAAAATAAATAAAGAATGAAAGGGGGTCTATAATTATGCCACAGCATCTTTTTCTTTCTATCCATTTTTACACGTGTCGAAGAGAAGAGAAAAAGCAGTAATCATATCTTAATACATCATGTATATGTATGTGTTGAATGAACGTATCAACTCAATAACTAGGTTCACGTGTAAGACAGAAACCTATTTTTTCTGTATTGAGTATAGGGGGGTCTATAATTTTGCCACTCCCTGTATTTTAAACCACATTCACACCCTCAAGACCAGAAATAGTTCTTAAATACATGTACACAACACTAGTCTAAATGTATATATATATATATAGTTGTAGATAAAATGAAATTTCTTTATTTTGAATAAAGAGAGATTCAACTTTAAGATATTGTAAAATCTCGTCAAATCGCTTAATTATTTTATGTACGTTCAGAATTTTGGTTTGAATTTCTTTGTATGTATTCTTTTGTGGTTGATGATTCCTTTTTACTTATAAATTGTGATAGATAATTTTTAATATTATATCTTTTAGACCACAGAAATAATAATAATGATATAAAAGTAGTAATTGCAAAAGTAACGAATAAACCACTAGTCGCTTTGATTTCAATGGCTGTTGTTGTTATCGTTGTTGTTGAATCAGAACAATATTGTGATTGAAACCATTTTTGTCGTAAATTCTCAATTTTACCTGATTCTTTTAATGATAATATACCAACATCTAAATCTTGTGCATATGCCCATTTTTTAGGAATAACAATAGCAAAAGCACCTCTATCAAAATCATTACCAACTAAAGTTAAATTACAATAAATATTATTGGTGGCATATTCAGCTACTCCTGAATCTGACAAGGCAACATCAATAATGCCGGCAAGTAGACTATCGTATAAGTGTTGTCGACTTTTTAATGGATAAAAATTTTCACTTCCTCCATATATTTCTGCTTTAAAGTAATCTTCACTAGCTGTGCCGCTGCGAATACCAATGCGATGTATTGGTACTTTTCCATTTTTAATATCATCTATTCCTGATATAATAAATTGTGATTTTGCTATGGTCAGATCTGATGCTAAATTAGCAGTGTATGATGCTACTAATATTAAACTTAGTATATATAAACCAGCCGTTAAAAAACGTCCAGCAGCTGTACTTGCATTAAATTCTACACCATACCCAACTATGTTACCAAAACAATACCATATGCTGAGTGTCAATTGAGATATAATTGGTCGATTTTGTAAGTCTTCATTATCTGCTCTTTCTATAAAACACATTAAAATACCAGCATAAATACAAGTAGCTAGAGCCAAGACCCATAG